CATTCTCCGTCTATTTTGAAATTACAAAAATGTGCAGAGTTCTGATCTGTGTAGAGTTCTGGATTATTTGTGCTCATAATTTATATCTACTATCTAATAATTTTAATCATAGATCTCACTAATTAATTGCTATAACAAATAAATACTTTCTTTACTTTTTAAAAGCTTCAGATAGTTTTCTTCAATCGAATATATTGTGATTATGGTTCCCCTCCCTCTGCTCCTCCCAGTTCCTCCTCTTCCCTGACATCCAGATCAGCATCCTTTCCTTCTCTCAATGACAGGCCTGCTTCCCTGTGAGGGGAGACAGAGGTGCAGTGGATCTGGGGTAGGGGAAGTGTGAGGGAGACTGAGAGAAGTGGAGGGAGGACTGGCCAAGGCTGGGATGTGTGAGAGAAAAATAAATACAAAGAAAAAATGAAACAAATAGGCATCTAAGAAATAACAATCAAACAACGTGAAACAAAACCAAATAAACCTGAATAGGAAAAAGCAACCAAAGAAGAAAAAGAGCCAAAGAAAATGAACAAGACACATACCAGACGCAGAGATGTGTATTCGAGCACACACAGGAATCACATACAAACACAAACCAGAAACCACAATTTGTGTGCAAAGGGCCGGTAATGTTAAAAAATAAATGTCCTGACTTGACACTATCAGACAAAGAACTTCCAAAGATGAAGTTGAGTTCGTTTTGTGTTGGCCATCTACTGCTGGGCATGAGGCATGTCTTTAAGAGTGGAAGACTCCCTTGGAGAAAACAAATTTTTTTCATTTGCAAGTAACTATCAACTGGAGATAGCTTCTGGCTTAAGGATGGGGACTTGTGACCACTTCTCTCATCTCTAGGACGCCATTTGGTACAGACCCATACAGGCCCTGTGCATGTTGCCACAGTTTCTGTAAGTTCATACATATGAGTATGCTTTGTTCATACTGTGTTTTCAAGGTCTTGATTTCTTGGTGTCCTCTAACTCCTTGACTCTTAACTTCTTTCACCCCCTCTTCCACAGCGTTCTCTGAGTCTGGAGGGGAAGTATTTGATGGAGACATCCCTTTTTTTGGTGGGTGGGGAGATATTCCAATGTTTCTCCCTCTCTGCATATTGTCTGGCTGATGGTCTGTGTATTTGTTCCTGTCTGCTGCAGGAGGAAGCTTCTCTGAGGATAAAAAGCAAGCCCCAGCTGCTTCACTGGTCAGAGTGACAGGCCATTTCCAACAGTTAATTCTTTTGAGTAGATATAGACACATGTAATTGAGGTAGGTTCACAAATAAGCACAAATCCCTTTTTGTTAAGGTCTTGCTTTTATGTCTCTTGTGTTACCTTCTTCAGAGCTGCAAGCAAACTAGCTTATCTTTTTTTGCCTTCTCGGGGCTGGAGTCTCACCTGTGGAACATAGGAACTTTGACGGAGATGGTGAACTAGGGTGTTTCCAGGTGAGAAATTTTAGAGCAGGATTCAAGATAAATGTCCAGGAGGATGTGACATTTACAGACTAGATTAAACCCAGACACTATGCAAGCATGGAAAACACATAATCTCCGCATGTCCCTAGGTTTGCAATTCTTAAAAAAAAGATAAATCAAAATACAATTAGAGTTTCTCAGTATTAGAATGCAGGCTACAGAGTGTTCCTTGGTGCCTGCTGCTCCTGCAGTGTGTGTCACCCGCCCTCAGAGGCCTGTGCTGACCCGTCCACATCTCGAAGACATCAGTCGTTAGAGACTTTCGCAGAATGAGTTGATTCTAACTGGGTTTGCACAGCCCTCCTGCATCCCATTGCCTCAGCCCGGGCAGCACTGCCTGTGTTGTCATCTTGACACTGAGATGTGACAAGTTCAGGCAGGTCACTAGTCACAAATGTATTGCAGGCTGAGCACCAGACTTCTTAGAGATCATTTGGCCTCATAAAGCCATTCTGTGAAGGAGCAATGGTGAATGTCCTGACATCCTGTGAGGGCTCAGTCACAGGCTGAGAGAGCCGGTAGCTCTGGTTCTAACATCTCAGGGTGTCTTTTAAACAATAACACAACCACTAAAATCCTTCCTTCCTTCCTTTTATTAAATATGTAATATATTCTGATTGTATTATTTCCCCAGCCCCAGCTCCAAGTCCTCCCCACCCACTTTCCCATTCTTCCTCTCACTTAAAAAAACCACACAGTCAGCAAGAAAAAAAGGCAGCCCACAGAATGGGAAAAATATTCACTAACCCCACATCTGACAGAGGGTTGATCTCCAAAATTTACAAAGAACTCAAGAAGCAAGTCTCCAAAACACCAAAGGATCCAATTAAAAAGTGGGCTGCAGAATTAAATAGAGAATTTTCAATAGAGGCATCTAAAATGGCTGAGAGGCACTTGAGAAAGTGCTCAACATCCTTAGCCATACTGGAAATGCAAAGCAAAACAACTCTGAGATACCATCTCACTTCTGTCAGAATGGCTAAAATAAAAAACAACAAGGACAATTTATGCTGGAGAGGATGTGGTGAAAGGGGAACACTCCTCCATTGCTGGTGGGAGTGCCAACTTGTTCAGCCACTTTGGAAATAAGTATCGAGATTCCTCAGAAAAATGCGAATAAACCTACCACAAGACCCAGCAACTCCACTCTTAGGCATATATCCAAAAGATGCCCATTCATACAACAAGGATGTCTGTTCCACTATGTTCATAGCAGCATTATTTGTAATAGCCAGAACTTGGAAGCAACCTAGATGCCCCTCAACTGAAGAGTGGATAGAGAAAATGTGGTACATTTACACAATGGAGTACTATTCAGCAGAAAAAAAACAATGGAATCCTGAGATTTGCAGGCAAATGAATGACACTAGAAGAAACCATCCTGAGTGAGGTAACGCAGTCACAAAAAGAGAAACATGGCATGTACTCTCTCGTATATGGATTTTAGACATAGATCTGGGGAGTGCCAGCCTACAATCCCATGGCCAGAGAGTCTGGGAAACAGAAACTTCATTCCGTGGCTGATGGAAGAAGAGGCAGACTCCCACAGCTAAGCACTTAGCTGAACTCAAGAAAGCCAGTAACAGAGAGGGAGGACTGATGACCAAAGGGATTAAGACTGGGCTGGTTTAACCCCCAGAAACAGCTGACCTGACAAAGGTTAACTCTTGAATCCCAGGCATCAGCCTGGGAATCCAGCATGGGACTGATCAAGACCCCCTGAATGTGGGTGTCAGTGAGGAGGCCTAGGTAATCTATTGAGCCTTGGGAAGTAGATCAGTATTCATCCCGAGTATGCACATGGACTTTGGACTCCCATCCAACAATGTGAGATGCACTCTCACCCTGAACTCTTGGGGGCGCTTGTAGGCCCTGCCCTGTATGAAATGACAGACTGTGGACACCCCCATGGAGGGCCTCACCCTCCTGGGGAAATGAGGGGATAATGGGGGGGTTGGGGGGAGGGTACGAGAGGAGGGAAGGGAAAGGGAGAGGGACCTGGAACTGACTTGTGAAGTATCCTTGTTTCTAATCTAAATTTAAACTTAAAAATAAATAATAAAACAGAAAAAAAACCCAAAAAAGATAAAAATAAAAACAAAATAGCACCCAGTTTGGTAAACAGTGCTAGAAACACACATGAAAACAGTTTGCACTTGGATCACCAGACACATCTGGGGAATGAAGTGTCTTTTATCATGTCATTTACATACTAGTAGCAATTAGGTCCTTTTACTGCTGATTAATTCTCTCTCCTGCACAGGAATATTGGCTTCTTATCTTTCAGTGTATTTTATTATTCAGGGTGGGGTAATTTCTGATGTGTCTGACATGCAACATAATGGTTTATTTGGAGATTGTAAAAGTAAAAAGACTTGAAATATCATTTTTTTCTTGTTGGCCTTTGGACCCATTCAAGCATTGTTCATTGAGTTGGTGTCAACTGAGTGCTGTAATTTTTAAAAAAGCAGCTCCAGAGAGAAAGACACCATGCTATAGAGTTCAAGTGGAGGAGTTTTTTTCTTAATTAGGGGAAAAGGATCATACAAAGGGGAAGCAGAAGACTAACCTTCAGGGACAGGAGCAGCAGGAGACAGGAAAGTGAGTCGGGAAGGAGGGGAACACAGACAGACAGAGAGGGAGAGAAAGAGTAAGAGGGATGGGAGGTGAGCAGGGCCCTTTTATAAGGGAACACAGTGAATGTACACAGGTGGTGCTCTTAGTGGCAGCAGCTGAGGGTGTATCCTGTAAAGATTCCAAAGGCAGGCCTGTACAGATGCCTAAATACTAACACTGAGTACTGAGTATCCATTCTTACAGCAGATTTCACTTATAGATCACACACACACACACAGAGAGAGAGAGAGAGAGAGAGAGAGAGAGAGAGAGAGAGAGAGAGAGAGAGAGAGAGAGAGAGAGAGAGAGAATGCAGCTGGAAATGACTATGATGTCTGAGATCTAGCCTCTTCCCCAAGGGTCCTACATTCTAGATGTGTTAGCAAGTCTAAACCAACAGACAGGGTTTATGATCCCTAAGCCCTGATTTCTGACAGTGAGAAATTACATATAATGTCATCTCAAGTGGGCAGTCTCAATGTGTCTCATACACATTGATTGAGTGAAGCAAAGGCAATCTAAAGACTGACCTATTTAGATACTGGCGAGGTGGAAGGAATAGAGTATTATAAGAGAAAGGCAACAAGAGCATAAAGATCAGCCCTTGTAGAAAAATCATGAAATCATTCAAGTGCAGTAGGCCCAGAATGTACAATGTTATGTCATGCAGCAATGGCTGGCATGATACCTTACACTTATATGTTGTACAGAATTTTGGCATCTTATTATATTATGACACATCATGATATATATCCATATATAATAAGATGGTATGCATTATATATGTATCTGTATCACACATAATATATAATCATACTACTATGATTATTGATAAAATAAATACAGTTCACATAACACATTAATATGTGATATATTCAAGTCAATGTAATGGAATGATTCATAAAATACTAACCTGAATTGATAACTGAAAATTGTTGAGCCCTCAGTGGATCTCAGTCCTCCAGGGCTCCCAACAGGAGCTTCTTGGGTATCTCCGTGTGAAAATCAGTGATCCTGCGTGGCCTACAGAGGATTAATTGACATATGAAAAGGCAGACAGGAAGCAAGGATAAGTTAAGGATACTGAATTACAGTCATCAAGAGTCAGTGATTCCTGGATCCTCTAAAGCACCAGGCTTTATCCACTGTCTAACTCTCTTAACTCACTGATACTTATAATCACCCTTGAGCCTGACGAATTCTCTGATTTCCTATTTCTAGATAATAGATAAGATAGAGCTAGATTCAAGCTCAGGTGCTGGATTTCTGGAGCCTTGTAATCTTACTGTTATACAGCAGCAATAAATAGTCAAAATAATTTTGAAATACAGGTGGCCTTTAACTCAACATAGTTTAAAGCTTGCAAAAATGTTGAGTGCCAACCAATGGAATTTCCACAAGGACACGTATCAAGTATTCATTCCCTCCTGTGTAAATCATTTCGCATTATTTCCCTTTCTTTATCATTTTAGTAACCATTGACTGATAAGACCTTTGTCAAGAAGTAATGATAGACACAGCAATAAGAGATAATCCCAATCTAGACGTATCCATAATTTAAAGATAATATATATTATTGGCATGTGTTTGCGTGTGTATGCAGACACACACTTGTACACGCTTGCTCTGGATGTGCACATGAGTAGGTAGAGGTCAGTTAGCTCACAGAGGCGGTTTCTCTCCTACAGTGTAAACTCAGGGGTTGAACTCAGACCATCTAGCTAATCAGCATGTGTTTTACCTACCAGACTGTCTCACCAGCCCTCAGTCTAAATATCTCTATGTGAAAACAAAGCTAAAATCATTTTAAGACTAGAATTACCAAGTAATTATTTCAAAGGTAGATTTGAAGAAATAGATTCTCCATTTTGCTGGTAAGTTCAAATAAGAACATTTTAAACTAGACCTAAAGATGAAGGCTTAAACTGCACAAGTAGGAAACATGGGTCATATAGAAGCACTAATATATTTGCAAACAAAGATGCATATTTTTCACTAAATGCCTTGACACTTGAAGATAAACTTAAGAGAAAAAACTTCTAAAAGTAAGATATTGGCAAGTACAGTAACTTCTATTTACTAAGGAATGTATAAGCGTCCTCAAAAACATGTTGATTAAATTTTCAATTTTGTCATATGGGACCTCATCTTTTTAGCAACTAATATTTCTCATAGTTTGAATAATTATGTTCCAGATATTGATTTTATGAAAAACACAGTTCATTTCATCAGCAGGAATGCATGCTTACAACCTCAGATACTGGACAGCCTTAGGTAAGGGAATTGCTTGAAGATGGGAATTCAAGACCAGCTTGGCCATCACAGTTAGTCACTAAACAATGATACTGAGAAAAGAAGAAATGTTGAAAATCTAATTTTTCAATCTTCTTTATATGTAAAATCATAAAAACAGTGTCAAGGAAATCCTACATAAAAAGAACATAAAAAGAATCTTTCAAAAGTTTCTATTGCTCTTTATTTGTGAGCCCTTAAGTCCATCTCTTTCATAATTTTCAATACATTTTGCACAGTTATATGTTTCATGATTAGAATTCAAAAATGGACTTTAACTATTTGAGAAAAAAATTAAGACAATATTTCTAACTAATGTTTGGGAGAAAGAACCTAAAATTCATTCACATTAGTGCTCAAGTATTCACTTCCAAATAGGCTTTAACATTTTGTACTGACCACACTGTAACCCAACACAGAAAGCTGCATAGACATGCCAGCCCTGGGATCACACCCTGTGGCTCAGCTCAGACTGCTGGAAGTGTATCAGACCCTAGATCAAGAACTCAAAGCAGGAATCCAAGCAGGGGTCATAGAGGGACACTGCTTACTGTCTCACACTCCATGGAGGGCTCAGCCTGTTTTATACCACTAAGGATCATCTGCCTAGGGGTGGCACCACTAGCCTGGGAGCTCTGATATCAATCCTCAGTCATGGAAATATCCCACAGACTTGGCCATGGGCCTATCTGGTAGAGCCATTTTCTCAACTGAGGTTTCCTCTTCCCAGATGATCCTAACTCCTGTCCAGGTGACATAATACTAACCAGCAGAGCATCTGTTCTTGTGCTCACTTTGGGCTATCCAAGCAGCTAAGTGCTTGGACCATGGTAGCTGACTACAAGGGAAGTCACAGGCTGGTCAAGAATCTTCTAGGTCACTCTGTACATTCTTCTTCCTTCTCTGGGGTGAAAGTGGTCAAGAGAGAAGGAGAATGGAATGACTATCCTTATTATATGACACAGCTCAGTTCAGAAAGGGAGCTTTTGGGAACCTCTTTGGGGATATGGGGAAGTTCATTTTTATGGTTCACTTCAGTGAAGAGGGCCAAGAAGCAATGGGCTGGAGACTCAGAGCACTTTCTTCTCAGTCAGTTCAATACTTGTCAAGAAAGAAAATACTGTGTGCTTTGTCTTGAATAGAAATGTTCTTCATGGGCTCAAGGATTTGAACATGTTGTCCCTAGATGCTGGCACTGCTTTAGAATGCTGGAGAATTTTTAGGGCACTGAACCTTGCTTAAGGAGATGAGTCACTGAACATGGGCCCTGAGGTTTGATAGCCCAGCCTCATTTCTTGTCTCTGTCTGTTTTCTGACTGCAGATGCCATATAACTAGGTTTCTCACAGCTGTTGCCATGCCTTCTCTTCTCGAACTGTAAAACTCAACCTTTCTTTCTCTCCTTAAGTTTGCAAGAATTCATGAACATAGAGGAGATTTATGGTGTGAGACGTCACTGTAGTATCTCCCCAGAACTCTTTCTAGAGGCTGATCCTCACAACCATCCCTCAATCAAACCCTTCCTTTCCAAATTCCATTGGTCCTGTGACCCTCACAGTCTTCAGTATCATTTCAGGTGTGGCATGAGAGTTATCATGACAGCTACATCCCCTCCCCACGTGCTCTTCTATGGTGCCTATTTTCTTCCACCCATTGTAAAAACTATTTATTGTGCAGAGATAATCCAAAAATTAACCATTACTATCAGAATAAAGAGATAATGACTTTACATAATGTAACAACTGAGGTGCTGAAAAGTTAGGTTTACCCATCCAGAGTCATCCAGTTACTAAGTAGTGAGGCTTCAAAAGTGTGCTCTGTGCCCAGATTTGCCTGGCTCCAAGACCTGCTTTCTTTTCTTTGATCTGTGCTGCCTTCAGGGCCAGCTGGAGCTGTACTTGGCAAACACGGTCTCCAGCATTCATTCACAGGCCATCCATATCCACTAAGCTGCTTACCCTAACAGAGACACATGGTGTTGGCCAATTTCATTTCTGTTTTTATACATGATTTTTATGTCTTCTTGGAAGGCCATTTTCTCAATTAAGCAGCATGACATGATGATAGAACCAAGGCCATTTAAAATATGTTTCCTTTCACCAATGGTGAGGCAAACTGGTTTTAAAATAACATTTCTAGAATGTTCCACCTCATGCTAAACTTGCTTTGTGCATTAATGGGAAATATCCTGCTTTGCTGAAGGCTTTGATTGAAAAGTCTTTCTGATGAGTCCATGGTGGCAGTCCAGGTTGTTCAGCATTCTCCAACACGCAAGCAAAGTATCTGAGGACAGAGATGCCTCTGTTCCCAGCTCCTCCAGGGACCAACTGAAAAGTGAGTTTAGACTAGGTCTCAAAGAAGATTCCTCTTCTCTAGAATTCAAACGTCACAGCTGGAAGCTGTGGCATTTTCTCTGAAGTGAAATGAATGTGGTCGCCTACACATCCCAGTCTTCTGTCTGGCATTTAAAAAGTTGGATTTCACTGCCATACACAAATGAAAAGCTCCACTCAGGTGACCTGTGAACTCACAGGCATGTGTGCTTATGAGCAAGTGAGTACCTGGGAATCTACTTTCTGAAACATGAATCTTAAATATTTACAGGAGTTCTTACCATTTACAGAATCCAAAGAAAAATATTTGGAGATCTGAAGGTTAGCTCGTCCCTAAGTTGACACTAATTATAGGACACAATCCCTTCGCTAGTCTCTGAAAGCACAGGATGAGGGTGGACAGTGCAAAACCAGTGCACAGTGAGAGCAGAATTGTCTTCCTTCACCCCAGAGAATAATGTAACTGTTTCTTTTAGCTATACATCTGCATGGTTATCCCTTTCTATGATTGGGCCATAGATGAGGCCCTTTTCAAGTGTTGTATGCTCACACTTATAGTGAGGTCTCTAATCAAAAGAACAGCCCAAGGCGTCCATGGGCATGAAAGGTATCTACCTTACCAACATGGCAGCCTTTGTTCACAGACATTTCCTCCTCTTTCCTAATGCACTATTACCTTCCACAGCTGGAGCTGCTTTCAGCTTCAGTCATCTGACCCTCTGCCTCAAGTCTTACCATTATCAGAACTGTTTTCATTACTAATTGTAGCTAACATCAAATCAGTTTTCAGTCCAACCAAATAACCTAGGAGTTAGTAGCAGGCCAATTTTTCTCTCTCCTTATATTCTCTACTCTTATGTCCAACGTTTTGTTTGGTTTTGCCAGTTTAACATCTCTATGCAGGTCCATTTTGGTCCACTGAAGATCCCACTGTGAAAGGTGTGAGGGGGTGCAAGTACCTGAAATAGAGCCTTCTCTGTGGCTTCTAGGAATGACTTTCACAGTGCAGGCTTCCTAGGTATAGAGGGCCTGCTGTGATAATTGCCAAAGAAGATGTCATTGAATGTACATAGAACAGATTGCTGGATTTCCCCAGATGGCTTGTTGAGGAGAAAAATGTACAAATGGCTTCAGTGACTGTTTTTCTGAAAGTGAGACGGGTCAATAAACTTGATTCCATTCTGCATATTCAGGTTGCTAGATTCCTTGTTTTATTTTTTCCCTTTATCATTTTTTAATGTATATGGGTGTTGTGCACAAATGTCCATGGATCATGTAACTTAGGTGTCCAATGGGATCAGAAGAAGGCACTGAATCTCCTGAGACTGAAATTACAGATGGTTGTTAGCAGTCATGTAGGTGCTGGGAATTGAACCCAGGTTCTTTGCAAGAACATCCA